ATAATCCATAGAACAATATTGGAAGCATTTAAATATCTTTCTAAAGATAATTAAAAGAGCTTGATTAGTAGTATCTGCTAAAAAGATAATGCTTTTCCAAACCCAAATAAGATCTCTTGGGCATAATATTCATAAAGGAACAATTTCTCCAATTGGAAGGGCTTCTTAAGCCCAAAAGGCAATTTAAATTGGCGATAAAAAAACAGCTTTAGAGGTTCTTACCCAGTTTAAATTATATCTCAGATTAATATAAAGGTTTAGCCTTGGATTGCAAGCTTTTATTTCAACGGCTAAAAAAGAACCCTTTAGAGTGGTCAAATGAACATACTAAGGCAATTAAGAAAATAAAACTTGAAGCTAAAGAGCTATCATGTTTGGCCATCTCTCATCGTAGTACATTTAAAATAGTAGAAACAAATGCTTCAGAAATAGGATTAGAAGGAATTCTTAAATAAAGATTTCCTAGCAATCCTAAAGAACATTTAGTAAGATTCAAGTCAATGGCATGGAATCCTGCACAATAAAATTATTCTACAGTTAAGAAAGATGTCTTGGCTATTGTACATTGTATCACTAAATTTGAAAGTGACCTCCTTAATAAAAAGTTTTTGGTAAGGACTGATAGTAAGTCTGTCAGAGATTTTAGAAAATGATGTGAAAAACTTAGCTTCAAAACAAATTTTTGCAAGATGGTAAGCGATTATATCTGTTTTTTATTTTGACATAGAACATATAAAAGGAGAATCAAATTCTTTATCTGACTTCTTAACTTGAAAATTTTTACAGGGACAAAAGGAAGCAGAATCCAAAAAAGACACTAATCCAGCGCCCAAATAAAATACTGACTAAAGGAGCCACTTCTTTATCATCATTAACCAGGGCTTCACAACAGGATAATATATCCATAATAAAAGAAGCACTCAAAGTCCGTAAACCCCAACATCAGAAAGAACTCCTTATGTGGAGACATATGTTATTCCTCTAATATAATAGAGGAAGATCATGTGGCTCAAATGCCAAATACAATAGCTGAAATATATCTAAAAGATCATACGAAACCTAATATGGAAGAGAAAAATAGATAATATTTTGAAAGAATTCTAGCTGAAACAAAGTCAGTATATATAAAGGACCATTATAGAAACAACAATGAATTGGCATACTCAAAGTTGACCATATTAAATATCATATCTTATAAAAACTAGCGGTTTGATCCTTTAAAACCAAGGTAGTTGCAAAATAACAACTTTAAATTAAGAGCTTAAAATTATTATGACTATATTAAAGCTTGGGATATGCTATTTTCATATCAAAATACAGTTGTAGCTCATAGCTGGTTTATACAATTTAGGTTATTACAAACTTCAAAAGATTTTCCTAACTGGTTTAAAAACTAGTTCTTAGTATGGGTACCATATCCTGATATTCTTCCAAACACGGTGCAAATGGCCCATTAAAAATTTGTAGAATATAACAAACACATTCTTAAAAGGGACTACCATATTTATTTCATGGTCGTATATGAGGTCCCTTGGATTATAAAATGGTATTATATGATTAACCTTGATACTGACATATGGGATTATATTCCTGAATTGCAAAGACAAATTTTTATAAAATGGTGGGATAGATATAATACAGACATGTTTTCCACCGACACATTGATACTAAAAAGTATCCTTCAAAACACCCTTAAAGAGCAGGGTTCCCAAATCAAATTAAAAAATTATGTCAAAACCCTTCAAACTCAAAACCCTACTTTAACTAAAGAAGAGCTTAAGAAACAGCTCTTATTACCATTTGACGATGCAGATGATATGTCCACTTTAGCCACATCTATCAAAGAAGATGAAGAAGAAGAAAACCTTCAAAAGGGGGGAGAAGGATATGACCCAAGCTAGGCCTCTCCTTTTTCATCATAGAGGTAAATGGAAAAGTTAAAAAGGTAAAAGAAAAAGTAAAAGTGACAGATCGACTCCATTCACTATCCAAGACACGTGACCCTACATTCCAAAAGACTTTACTGTCGCGGATTTAAACTCATTTCAAATGCATCGATATATTGTATTGGATTTAAATTTATTTCAATTCCACTGACATATTATAGTGGATTTAAACTCCTTTCAAGTCCATCGACACCTTTTACGGACTTAAGAGTGCCATAAGTCCTCCACGAGTCTCTATAAAAGGAGGACGGCTCCTCATTTGAAGGCATCGAAAAATTTTAGGATAGTTTTAAGAATTCTATTTATGAGAGTCTCTATACAATTTGAGTTTTATTTTTAAAAGTTGGTACACAGTCTGTATATCTGCTATTCTATCATTCCCTCTCGTGTGACCTTCTTGAAGTCCATATCTCTTCTATCCATATAAGTTTATTTAAATTTGTTTATAGAAGATTTTTATATTTGTATAATAAGTTTTCGTATTGAATAGAATCCTGAGACTCTTCAATTTGGATTGGTAAGGTTTTGTAAATTAATGGATTGTATGTGGTTTTGCTCTTTAAATTAGTTTGTGTTAAGTTGAGTTCTGCTCTTTAAATTAGTTTGTACTAAGTTAGCCTTCTAGCAGATTCTATAGACTATGGCTAGATTTTAGGATCCTATATCCATATCAAATCCCTGAGTTTTTAGGTTTAAGGTTAAAACCTTGAGTATATTTTTATCTATTAAAGAGACTGAAAAATTAAAAAACAATTAAAGTAAATAGGTCTCTTACTTAAGCTAGATTCTACTATTCCTAAGAAGGAATCAGTGAATGATAGACTTGAGTCTCTTATTTTATCATGGATATATTGATTATAGAGAAGATCATGTTAGTGCATGTCCTGAACCTTGAGGGTCATTTAGATACTGGCTAAAGGAGCCACTTCATCTTTTTAGCAGACACCACTAATCCAGCTCTTTTAATTCTCTTTCGAAAGGTATTTAAATGCTTCCAATGTTGTTCTATGGATTCTGAGAAAATAAGAACATCATCAATATAGACGATAGAAAAACTGGTATAAGGATTAAATATATTATTCATAATATTTTGAAATTCAAATGGGGCATTCTTATGCTTAAAAGGCATCACGTTCCATTCATAATGCCCGAAAGGAACTGTAAAAGTTGTCTTATACCTGTTTTTTTCTATAAATTGGATTTGCCAATATCCAGATTTCATATCAAATTTTGAAAAACTAACTGCATTATGAGGTCAAGTTAGTAGATCCCTTTTATTAGGGATAGGGTATATTACCCACCTAAGAGCTTTATTGAGAGGGCTATAGTTTATTACTAATCTAGGTACGCCTATTTCTATTCAGCAGCTTTCTCAACATCGAAAGCTAGGCAGCTCCAAGGAGAGTGCATCTCGACCTCAAGATGCGTGGACATTAGAAAAAAATAGATATCATGTTTTGAAAATAGTGCATGTTGTAATGCATTTTTAGGCCGTCAGTTTTCAAGATTTTCAAGTTTTCATAGATCTGCTCAATCTACATTATTTTTGAAGTTTAAATTTTATAATTAGAGGTGAAAATATATTTTAAGGCTATCACAAAGAATTCCAATATTGTAACTGCATTTCTTGACACTATTTGAAGGCTATATGATGCTGATAAAAAATGGGTTGATTCAAAATCTAATTTTATTTTTTATATTTTTATTTTTCAGATATGTGAGTAGATTTTTTATTAGTTTTTAAGAATTATATTTATTTTAAGAGTTAGAATTGTATTTTTCTTTAGATATTTTTATTTGTCTCTTTATTTTTGTTAGGAAGATAAACAAGGTTTCCTTTTTTGATAAGTATGGGTCACTTGTGCTTGGGATGCTTAATAAGCTCTTTCCATATTTTGGGTAAGGACGTGAGGTCGAAATAGAGATTATGATGGGTTTATAGTTCGAGCGTAAAAGGAAGGGATAAGGAGTTTTCCTTTTCTACCCGGAGAAAAAGGAGCCATGGTGAAGTATGAAATCTTTATAACAGTCAACGATGGCATCGTAAATAGATTGATTTTGATTGAATGAAAAGAAAGTTTTTTTTTGTAAAGTGAGAGTTATTTGTGGGTGTTTTTCTTTTCTTTTACTTGTAGGTTCATGTTGGACTATTCGTATCCACACGTTTTATTCTTTATTTTTTATCAGTTTTATTTTTCTCTTAAACGTGGTTATTTTTACCGTGTGTTATTGTCGGTAAATTTTATATTGTGTCACTACCACATAGACTTATTCTTGAAAACGATCGTTGAAGGCAATCACCATCTATTGAAACAATTAACTTTGGAAAATGGAGTGTGTCCACCAATTGGACTATTTTTTATCCCACACAATGTCTCATGGTCATCATTTATCAATTTAATGGGCCATGATGGCATTCAACACCATACTATTTTTATAGTCCATAGTCATATACTTTTTACAAGAAGATAAATTGAGATGAACATCAGTATAATTCAAATTTGAAAATAATCATCTATCTCTTTTCTTTCTTTCTTTCTTTCTTTCTTTCTTTCTTCTTCTTTCTTTTTTTTTTTTTTTTTTTTTTTAATCATAATTAAGTAGGAAAGACAGGCCTTTACCTTCTTTCTAAGTAAATTAGGAATTTGGTTTTTTTAAAAAATATTAGTAAAGTGATCTTGGTGGTGGGAATATTACCGCACTGGCGCTAGTAGACTGATGGTGGGAATATTAGGGGAGTGGTGTGAGTAGTAGGACTGCAAAAAAATTTTGAGAAATCAAGGGAACACAAATGATTTGTTTGACTTGTCAGTGTCGTATAGATAAGGCACGTGACCGACGGGAATAAGTGACACATTTGTCAAGTGCGAGCGTCACATGACCTGCAAATTGTTAGAAAAAGAAGGCTTGTAAGGCTTGTAAAGAATAATTCAAACTTTACTTCCGAAAGAAGACTGTTCACCATTTCGACTTATTTAAGAAGCAGTTGTCAGCAACTCTTATTACATTGTATTATTTCCCGAAAAAGACACTTCCTCCACCACCCCCACTTATTTAAGAAGCAGTTAGTTGTCTGCAACTCTTATGAGAAGAGTGAGAGAATGGTGACACGACATACACAGTAGCCTGAAGAATTAAGCAATCCTGGAGGATCACTTTTATCTATGGAGCTTGGCGTAGCAGAGGACAAGCCAAAAGATATTCATACAAACCCAAATCCAGGAGGATGGAAGACCTTCCCCTTCCTCACAGGTAAATTGAGGAGATCAAAACACTCACAATTCGCATCTCTCTCTATCTTGTAGTATGAAAAATAAAATGAGACACATATGTGCTTTCCATTTTCTCAGGAATGGCTTCTTTTGCTTTGATGAAAATTATAGAACATTGTTCTCACTATATCTGGTGGAAAAATTTATTGTCTCTCTATCTAGAGAGCGATAAAGGAAGTTATCCAACCTCTTCCACTGCTTGGGTGAGCCAACCCGGATTCGCTCGAGTGAGTATCATGGTCAAGCTATGGATCTTAAAAAAAAAAGGACTTAAAAAATTATAAAAATTAAAAAAAATGAGAAATTTATTTGTAATATTTTTTAAATATTTTCTATCATATTGAATCTTTGTTGTTACAATTTTCCTTCTTTTTGAAATATTTTTAAAATACCCACAATCACAAATTGATTTTTCAAAATCTATTTTTAACTAAGGTTTTTAACGTTTAGTTGTGTTTTGTTTAATTTTAGAGCAAATTAACACGACGGGGGGTGGTCAATTATCAAATAAGCACTCATTTACCCGTACTACCCTAGGTTTTTTTTTTTTCCTTCTAAATTACCCCCTATCCTACAATTAAATCAGACATAGACGAGATGCTACCATATTTATAGGGTTTTTGCACTTCCATCCCAAAATCCCCTCTTTCCTCTCTCTCTTCTTTATCCGTCCTCTCTCTCTTCTTTATCCCTCTCCAAATTCTTAAGCCATGGATGAGGATTAGTTACAGATCAGCCCATCTCCCTTCCCCCTTCTCTCTCGTATTCATCCCTTTTCTTTCTCTAAATTCGATTTATCTTTCGATAGAATGACAAATCTGGTTTATGATGAGACCCAAATGAGACATGGTGCATTCCAGTGTTTTAAAAATCGGCGAGTCGAACTGGACTCGTCCGGTTGGACTCGAGAACCGGCACACGAGTCCGGTTCGACTTGGGAACCGGCATAGCCCGTGCCGGTTCCAGTACAAAATCGGGAACCGCCCGGCTCTAGAGAAGATCTGCCGGTTCCAATCCGGTTCTGTCCGGTTCAGCCTGGTTCAGCCTGGTTCCTTCCCTGCACGCGTGTACAAAACCAGGAACCGTCAGGTTCTAGAGAAGAACTGCCGGTTCCAATCCGGTTCAGCCCGGTTCCCGCCCGGTTCTAGAGAAGAACTGTCGGTTCTAATCCGGTTATGTCCGGTTCAGCCCGGTTCCCTCCCTGCACGCGTGCGAAACACATGAGATTACCCCAATATTTCTAAACAAACATTTTAGTTTATATTACATAGGTATTTATATACCAAAGTGGAATACCCATCTTTCGATGTGGGATAATTCCCAAACATCATTAAATGAAAAGAGAATTTAAATATATTATATTAATCATCAAGTTATAAATACATATGGTGAGGTGGCGTGGTGGTTAAGACCTTTGCTTCTTCATGTGACCTCCCAAGGTCGAGTCCCCCCCGTGGGCATTATTTTTTTGTGTTGAATATACTGTATAAATATTTTTGTAAATAATATAAAAAGCATAAAAAAATGAAAAAATAAAAAAGTTAATTTTTTTTATAGCAGTTAATTTTTGTTGTATATAGTGGTATAATTATTTTTTAAAATAATATGAAAAGCATAAAAAAATAAAACATAAAAAGTTTATTCTATTTGAAATCTCCATCTTTCTACTAACAATCTCTTTTACTAAATTTATTATAGAAACCTAAAAAAATAAATTTTTGAAAAATTGAAGTGTTATTTTCAAAATTTGTACGCATTTTATTAATTTTTACATTAATAACCAAATCTTTTATTTTATTTATTAATTTTTACATTATAAATCATGTAATGTACTATTTTCCTGACAGTTGTCAATAATACATTTTAAATTAGATAATATTATAAAATATTTTAAATTTATTATTATTTGTCTAATAAAATAATTATAAAATGTAAACTAATAATTATAATTTCAGTATATAATATTATAATGAGTTAGGTTTTAATAATTTTGGATTATAATTAGTTAGGTTGTAATAATTTGGATTTTTTTAGCGGATTAGGGTTTTTCGCCAAAACGAGATTTTAATGGCCATTCTTTCATTGGTTAGTCTACTCTTTATAATAGTCCATGTATAATTATATATTTTATCTATGATAATTCTATGATTTTACTTTTATGTGATGCAAATTTAATGGT